GCTTGGAAGCCAGCCAAGCAGCAGTTGCATGAAAACCAGGGAGAGCTCTGATAAATGAAGACACTGCAGACTTTATCTTGTTAGTATTCAGGTACCGGTAGAGAAGAAGAAGAAGAAGAAGATGGCTACCTTCTTCCCCCCAGACGTTTTTATTAAGCACGCAAAACAAGCAAAATTAGCATAAGATAAGAATTTGGCCATAGAGGCGTTGTGTGGTTATCAGTCTTAAGGCATTCCACGCCTGCGCACAACGAGAATCACATAACAATGGGATGATTATAAGGAGAATCACAGGAGAATGCATGATTGTACTAAAATAATGATTATGTTAAACATCACTGATGTATCCCTTAATAGCCACAAGATGGAACTTTAAACTACAAAATCCCCACACTGCCTTCAAATTTTCTTAGCATTATTGTCTTTTCCAGAGAAAACTTGCCTTCTAGGGATTTGTTCAAAACACGACAGACTCAGTTTCATGTGTTTTGCTTTTCCTAAGCCCTCTCCTTCCATCATTTTTGCACATCTCTCTTTGGTTTACGTGTAAGAAGAGAGATTTATGCTTAAAGTGCATTTCCTGTTGCAACCCTATTTATATACGTAGCTTGAACTGTACCCTATTGGGTACAATCTGACTTACATCTGAATAATTAGGTACATGTAAGGCTGCATAGTAATTCCGTTAATTTCAGCTGGACTTCAATACAACAAACTCTCTATTCTAATTTATACTACCTTTCACACTAAATTTCCAGAGCAGCTTCTGCTAAGAAATGAATAGCTGCATGAGAAATAATGTGAAGTACTGTTTCTTCGTTATGTGTCATCAGATAAGGTTTTCATGGGAAAATGTTTAAGAAGAAGTTTTACCAGCTCCACTCCCTGCTCCATGGGTTTCCATGGCCAATAGGGGATTCAAGACAGGACTCCTGAGCCCTAGTCCATCGCTGTTTGCTACACCACACTTAATATCCGTTTATTCCTTTAGATGTAATTACAATGCATTCAGAGTTGGGTTTACATTAGAGACTGTAAAGTTTTAAGCTAAATGTGTTTTAATAGGATGATTGTTGAGTATAGCTGAAATCAAAGTTGGTACAGTTTTAAGTTTGGGTAAAATTAGAAACTTCATTTCAAATGTTTAGATGTTACCTGCCAAGTCTGGTTGAGAAAGGCTGTTACCGTATTTTTCGCTCCATAAGACGCACCTCTCCATAAGGTGCACCAAATTTTTAGGAGAAGAAAACAGGAAAAAAAATAATCTGTTTTCTTCTCCTAAAAATTGGTGAGCCTTATGGAGAGGTTTGTCTTATGGAACACACCCTAGGACCCTTTGGAGGCTCACCCAGCCCCCCCGGAGGCCAGAGGGGGTGAAATCGCCACCTTCTGGGACTCTTCTGAAGCTTCCCAAGCCTCAAAAGAGTCCCAGAAGGTGGCGGTTTTGCCCCCTCTGGCCCGGTGGGGGGGCAGGGTGAGCTTCCAAAGGGTCCTAGGGTGTGTTCCAGGACCCTTTAGAGATTCACTCTGCCCCCCTGGGATCAGAGGGGGTGAAATCACTACCTTCTGGGACTCTTCTGAGGCTTCCCAAGCCTCAAAAGAGTCTCAGAAGGTGGTGATTTCGCCCGCGCTGGCCCCGTGGGGGGTGTGGGGGGAGCGTCGCAGGGATCCTGGAAGGCTCACGCAGACCCTTCCGAGGCTCCCCCATGGGGCCAGCAGGGGAGAAATCGCCGCCTTCGCTCCATAAGATGCACAGACTTCCCCCCCACATTTTTTTGGGGGGGGAAGTGCGTCTTGTGGAGCAAAAATACGGTAGTTTGTAGTTTAGCAGGCTACTTAAACAATGCTTGTAGTTTAGCTGATTATTTTAAGGCATTAGTGTTCAAGGCATTAGACTGCAATTGGATACATGGTTATCTGGGAGTTAAGTATCATTGTACTCAAGGAGACTTTCTGCTGAGCAGGCATACACAGATGGCCAGGTGTGCCAAATACCTGCTTTCCTGAGGTGGTCAAATCTGGCTATGGTAACACAAAGCCCCTCTACATGGGGCTACCTATGAAGAGTCTCCAGATATTTCAGCTGTCTCAGAATGCATTTGCAACTATGTCAGACTCAGTGGGCTTCCACCCATGGGACAATATACGGTACACAGAACCTGCAGCTGCATGCATCCTCCCATACAACCCATCTGCTACTCTGGATTATGTCGAAAGGCTCTTCCTGTAACTTGCCTCTGATGAAAGCACAATTGAGAATTGCTTTCTTAATAGCTGCATGTCAGTTGTGTAATACCTTGTCCTATAGGGTTTGAATGCATCTCTCTTTTGCTGGTTAGTAGAGAATTTTAAATGGCAGGCTTTTTGTCCCATTGGTCAGATAATATTTTTAAATTGACATTTGTTTAGGTCTATTCTTCTGTCTTCCAATATTTTTGGCTTGATATTCAGCTTTTATGACAACGTTGTAATCTGAATTGACATTATCCATGAAAGGATGTGGATACATTTGAATAATAAATTATACAAATTAGTAGGATTGGTGTAAACCACAACATTTAAAAGCAGTAGGGAATACTGAGAAAAGGGAAATTGGGTATTTAGGAGGCAAAAACATTCCCCATTAAAACTTATTTCAGGTCTGGTCTCTACCTGACACATTTTGAGACTCCTAACCTGTTGACACTTTTTCCAGTCCATCTCTGGGAAGCAAACAGGATGTTAAACGGATTTCTTTTAGGCTTTTCACCACACCTTCTTTTAAATCCAGAAGCAGTATTATTTGGAAGCTGCCTCCCCCCCACAGTGTCCTCCAGATGTTCTGGGCCTACAATTTCCATCATCCTCAGCCAACCCCACCTTTGAGCAGAAGATATATAAAGCCCATATATCTTATGATCAAACGATGAGACCTAGCTGAAGTGGTGATGGTGGTAATTTTTAATTGAAAAATAGCAGGAAGTAAAAGGGTTGACCCCCCTCCCAACTTTTGCTGCAGTTGTTGAGTGTGTTTTAGTTTTTAAAAACATGGGAAAGTGACATAAATCTGTATCGTAGGTCTAGGATGGTTTTCTCTCAGGGTTTTGAAGTGTAAGTGGTACAAGGATCTAGTGCTGAGTCATATCCATGTTTCCTGACACTGCACAATTGCAGAAAAGAAAAAGTCCTCACTTAAGCACTTACTGGACAATTCATGTAAAAGAGCAGATGTACCAGCTCATATTCAGCAGAAATATTTGGCAATTGACTACATTTCTATTTTAGTACAAGAGATTTCTTAAAGAAAGTTAGTTCAAACACTTTCTTGTATATATATTTTCTAATGTCCTGGGGAAAAACACTTGATGCATCTCTAGAAGTCATAGAGGAAGGGGGGGGGGAGAGAACAGGCAGAAAATAAAGATACTTTGGCCAGAAGCAGTAGAGGTAAGGAATCACATATTGATTTGAAAGAACCAGCCAAATATTTGGCTGCGAGTTTCTAGTGAAAAGTCCTGAAAAGACATGAAGATCCAGTTGCCAATCCACAGGAACCTAAAACACACAACAATGATATAACTAGATCACTACACATAAAAATAATCTAGTAACCTTCCTCCCAGGAAACATTTTTTGCACAATCATATGTCAGTAATAAATTATGCAAATTGTATAAGCAGCATACTTTTAATATATATAAATTGATTTCTAGTCACAAAGGAAGCTCAGGCACAGTGTGTGTTTTGTTTTGTTTTTTAAACAACTCTATTTTGAGTTTAGAAACCCTTGTACTGCAAGTGTATCACTTGGTGACCTCTGAGTTAATGCTGGAAGAAAAGTGAGTGCTCAGTGGTCAATGATCTGTGATTTCATTATGGCCCTCAAGGCTGTTTTATTTGAGCTTTGTGAAAAGGAATTGGGGCACTTTCACTCATTAGGAAAAGAGAGAAAGATTACATCAACTTTAGTTTGTGGGACAAAATGCAGATTTCGTCTATTGTCTTTTGCTGCACTCTCTGACAAATAAAGCACCACCTCAGAACATAGTAATTGTTATATTGGATACAGTAATGGGTTTAGACCAGGGACGCTGGTCCTAAATCCCTCTTTGAAGGTCACTCTTTTCAGTCTAACCCATCTGACAAAACTATAGTTGAGATAAGCGGAAGAAAGGATCCTGACCTTGAAGGAAGGATATTATATAAATTTGTGAGATAAATATTACATCTCCTTTTATTAATGACTTGGATGAGGGAGTGCAGGGAATGCTCATCAAACCTATGAGTGACACAAAATTGAGTGGAATAGCCAATACTGTACCTTGGGAGACAGGAATAAAATTCCAAAAGATCTTGAAAGTCTTGAGCACTGGGGTGAAAACAACAGAATGAAATTTAATAGGGATAAGTGCAAAGTTCAACACCTAGGGGGGAAAACCAAAGGCACAGTTACAAGATGTGGGTCACTTGGCTCAGTAATACTACAAGTGAGAAGGATCTTGGAATTGTTATAGACCACAAGCTGAATATGAGCCAACAGTTTGAAGTGGCTGCAAAAAAAAAAGGCAAATGTGATTTTAAGAAGTCTCCAAATCCCGTGAGGCACTAGTCTCCTCTATTCAGCACTGGTTAGGGCTCATCTAGAGTACTGTGTCCAGTTCTGGACACCACACTTTAAGAAGATGCCAACAAATTGGAGCAAATTTAGAGGAGGGCAACAAAGCTAATCAGGGAGTTTGGCTGTGCACATCACCCCAATTTTTTCAGAAGAGCACTATTGTTCAGCACTTCAGTTCCATCTGTCATGTATATATGCACAGCCAAACCTACCCCCCCCCCCCCCCGTGCGTCATAGAAAGGGTACAAATACAGGGACAAGAGCTTGGTCTGCTTATATTTTGACCACAGTCAGTTCTAGACTGTTCAAAAATGTTAAAATTGAATATCAAAGAAATTTAAGAAATTTTAGGTTTTGACTTAACAACAGCCTTTTAAAATATGTTTCTTTATGTGTCTTTTTAGAGATTTAAGGGGAAATAAGCTTGAGTGTGACTGCAAAGCCAAGTGGTTGTTTTTGTGGTTAAAGATGACAAATTCTACTGTTTCTGATGTCCTGTGTGTTGGCCCAGAGGAATTTCAGGACAAGAAATTAAATGATGTCTCAAGTTTTGACGATGAATGCACCACAACAGGTATTCTCTAAAGTATATTTTACTGAAACAAATAACAGGGGTACTGTGAGCCACCTCAGTCTGGGAGCCAAAAGTGCTGGTATTTTTTTCTTGTGTCTGCTAATGTCTTTTTCCAGACCTTTTTGTCTTGTTAAAATTGAAACACTGTCCTATTTTTTTAATCACCACATTATTCTTTACATGAATATTGATGACAGATAAGAGACTAACCATTGTTCATCAACAACCCATCTCGTAGATGGAATATAAAAAGTACTATTTTCCTTCATAGTGCTTTTGAGGGGGAAAAATCCAGCAGAGCTCTAAGCTAAGTCATAGTTCTCTCTTAACTATATATGTCCTTTTTTCCTGGCCTAATATACTATTGTCATTGCTGTGTTCCCATGTAAAAGCAGGAGATGTAAGCTGTTTGCATAAAGCCATTGAAACACATCATTACCATCAGCCTTTACACAAAAATATTTTGTGCCTTCCAGATTTACAAAACTGTCAGATCTGAGACTGGCTGTTCAGGGCTGACAGAGGTAGATTTACTAATAGAATAAGATCTCAAGACAAAATATGAAATATTATTCAAAATGCACGAAGATTAATTATTCAGTGGGAATATTTTTCAAATCTCAGTAAATATGAAGGGATGTATAATATCAATTAAAAGGACTCAGGAACGTGTGAAGGGGTTTATAACTGTTGGTGCAGAACCATTTGTGGCTGTGGATATTTTGCGTGTGCATTAATTATTTAAGTTATTATTACCTGTGATTGATCAGTATGGATAAATTAATTGTTGTATGTCCAGTAGACAGCAGTGGAAAAATGTACTGGTAGTGGTGTGTATTCACAAGAAAAAAATGGAGATTCTTCACTGATAGCACAAGCAGGGGAGTTTGTTTATTGCCCTGTCAACATACTTAAATCTCCAAGTAATGCACAAATGGTCATTGTTAAGTAGAAAGTATGTGTATTGGCTAGTCATTTGGGGGTGGCTGTACATATTGCCTAGGAATTTTGCAAAAGGTATTAACTGCCTATAAACAAAATGTATCTAATCAACTCACATTCTGGAGCATTTGTTGGTTGTGTACTTGACTGTTTTCTGTGAATTGACATGGCCTGATTCATCCCAGCCATGAACTCAGGGGCAGGGAGGAGGGTCCATAAGGAAGTTACTATTCAGCTCTGTGTCCACAAAATGTAAATTATAACATCACTCTATTTTATAGTGTTATACGAATTACAAAAAAAGTAGGAGAAACAATGAGAAAAATTATTATTTTACCCCATGTGATAGAAAAAAGATTGAAACTTGTGTAATATTTGATGGATGGGTTTTTGGACTTCACTGTTGGCGATACAATAAGGCAAGGTGGTTTGGAGATTTGCCAGCAAAACAGCTGATACTTGAGCTGAACAGCAACAGGAGGAAAACAGTCTGTGCCTCAAAAGGGATAAAATCAGCAAAATGTGTTCTATTTTTCAAATAACAGCAGAATAAAAATGCTGAGAAAGCAGAGCAATGCCATTAGTGAAGGGACAATCTCACAGCCCACCTCTAGAATAGAAATGTGATTTTCCAGCAGTGTGAAGTGGAATTCTTTAAAATACATGCTGTGCACCAAATTGCTGAGACGGCCTCCTTTGCCATTGACTTCTACCACTCCAGAGCAAACTGGATGTATCACTTAATCTTTTTTTTTCTTTTTTTCTTTTTTTGCTTTCCTTGCCCTCACCTCTTTATTCTCAGCACATCACAGAAACAGGGTGCTTATTGGTTGATGTTCTATTCCTGAATTAGTTCAGAATGTCCTATCATAAAGCATGTGGCCTTAATCCGTGTACCAAAATCTAAGGAGAGGCAGGGAAGACATGATCAATCATAGCCTGGCTCTGGAAATACACATGCTGCTATGGCATGGAAAGAAGCTAAGGGTGGGCAGAAACACATTTAAACAATATATCATCACAAGAGTGAATTCTTTAACTCATCTCACATAATCCTCACTTCACATAATTTCCCAGTTAGCTTGCCTTGTTTTTTATATGGTCTTCAGGCCTTAAGTACAGGATTCATAGGAAGACTAATGTGCTTTCAACTCTGACAACAGGCTATTTATAGTGATTTGGGGGAATCTCTAATGTCTCTTTCTGCTTCAGAAGAGAGGACCTTTGACCCACCCTTTGCCTTCTTGAGACTGTGTACTTCTCTGTCACCCCTTAAGTAGGGAAGCTCAGAGGAGATGCCAAAAGGTCAGAGAAAGTGCTCTTGGGGGGGCAGGGAAGGGGAAGGGCATGGACTTGTTCTTGTTCTTTTTCTATCTTTACTAAAAGAGCAAGGAAGGAGGAGAGAGGTGACCATTAATTGTTCATTTCTCCTCAATGACACAGCTTCTTCTCCTTAAAAATAAAAAACATCAGTAGTAAGTACCCCTTTTTAAGTATGTGTTTTCTGCCCAGTTTAATGAGTCAGTGTGAAGAAGACTAGACTCTTCTTAGCATGTACCCTTGGAATAAAGGGCCAAAATAGAGCTAGCCCCAGACCTAAAAGGAATGATATACAGCAGAAAAGGAACAAAGGGAGCAAGGGGCAGGAAAAGTCTTAGCTTCACCCTTACTTTTCCAAAGAAATTCCCCTCCAGCCAGGTTATTTTGAGGCAGAAATGAGCATCTCAAAGCACTTCTTTCATATTTCCTGTTAAGCTGAATTGTAACATGTGCATGTTTTCAATGAAAATGTATTTTCAGATTTTGTGATTCATCAGATTTTACCCTATGAATCTGTTTCCATTGACACGTTCTACTCGAAAAATGATGTGTATGTAGCCATTGCCCAACCCAGCATGGAAAACTGCATGGTGCTAGAATGGGATCACATTGAGAAGAACTTCAGGAGCTATGACAACATTACTGGTAAAATTCAATGCCTTTGTGTTATTACCTTTTTTGACATAGTATTTTTGTGAAATCAGTATCACCAATGATGAGGAATGATAGGATTTGGAAGGTCATAGGTTGCCCATCCTTGCACCAGACTAAGTATGGGCTACTAGTCAGTTGGCCCTAGGATCCTTGCAAAGAGTCTAGGGGTAGTGTCATCTTGTGTTCACCATTTCCATATGCAAGGGTACATTTTACTGACCACAACATAGATTAATTTTGTCTTTGTTGTTAAAAGGACTTCAGCTAAGCAGGTTTATCATACTGACCTCATGGAGCTTCTACTTTCAATAATTTCAAATAAGCTGCAAAAGGGACCAGGCTTGGGGTGTGGGAGGGGTTCAAAACAAGAATTTAAATATAGCCTGGAACCATTATTGTACATAAAGGTCTGGACCAAGGTTTCCTCTAAGCTGGGCAGGTGTGCAGGTGGGTGAGACTCCACCTCCCTCTGCGCAGCTCTCTTCCTCCTCTGTGCAGTGATCATGTTCAACCCCTTTGGATCCTGTCAAAATGGAACCCTGCACACGGAGGAGGGGGCAGATTCGTGCACACGTACAGGGGTGAAGTTGCATGCACAAGAGTTGGAGTCCCACCCTGTGGGGCTGAAAATTAGAGAGTAAGTTGGTCTGGACGTACATACAGTCAGTCGGTTGGTCTTCCTTCCTTCCTTCCTTCCTTCCTTCCTTCCTTCCTTCCTTCCTTCCACAGGGATGCAAAACATTTTTTTAAACTAATAATCAAAGTCACCATCTGAAGAACAGGCTCCTGCAAGAACATTGCAATGACAACTTTGAAAGTCAGCTGGTTAAGGAAATATTTAAAAGACATACAGAAAAAGGCTTATTAACCTCCAGTATCTAATCTTATTTGAGCGACTTATGAAAAAAGCTGGAATTGGGGAATTTTCTAATAAAGAGTTGCAAGTGCTGCACAGAAAAATCAAACTTAGTAATAAAACAGATTCAATTACAGTAGATGTAATTATTCACCCTTTATATAATATTCTAACCAGCAGGAAAGCACCTTTGGGAATGAGGGTCCACATATTTCTCCATGTTCTGTTCTTGGTGCCGTTACTACCATAGGGCATGACCATATTGTTTTCTTCAGATTTCTGCTCCCAGTTCTTATCTCCTTCTTGTCTAAGAGATTAATGCACCTTACTTAATAGATGACAGTCTGGTGTTTACTTAGTTGCGTTCAATCTTCTTATAACAGTCACAGGTCCAGTAGCATTAGAAACTATTCCAGTTCAGTGGATCTCCACTCTGAACTAAAGTAGGATAGTCTCAGAGGTGATCCACTCTCCAGTGTATTTATTAGACTTAGGGGGACAGCACTGAATGTAAGCCTATTCTGGAAGAATAAGTCTCTTACACAGGACACTGTTAGGACAAGGGAGAAAAGAAGCATCTGGATTATGTTTGGCAGCTCCAGTTGCTAAATTACCCAGTCATCTTTTTGGCTGTTAGAAAGCCCTTTCTACACTTTGAAAGGATCAGCAAAATGAAAAGGCTTATAACGGTTGTTGTGGGTTTTTCGGGCTCTTTGGCCGTGTTCTGAAGGTTGTTCTTCCTGACGTTTCGCCAGTCTCTTCAGAGGAACAGGAGTCAGAACTCTGTGCTCTGGTGCATTTTTTTTTTACTAGTTTGACTAGTTGGGCCCAGGCATCTGACCAAAGGTCTGATGCAAAGTTACAAATCAGAAAGTATAAGGAAGAAAATTATAAATAAAAAAACAGAAGTAAGTTGCTACAGACGTGGTGGCGCTGCGGGCTAAACCGAAGAAGCCTGTGCCGCAGGGTCAGAAGACCAAGCAGTCGTAAGATCGAATCCATGCGACGGAGTGAGTGCCCGTCGCTTGTCCCAGCTCCCGCCAACCTAGCAGTTCAAAAGCATGTAAATGCGAGTAGATAAATAGGAACCACCTCGGTGGGAAGGTAACAGCGTTCCGTGTCTAAGTCGCACTGGCCATGTGACCACGGAAGATTGTCTTCGGACAAAACGCTGGCTCTATGGCTTGGAAACGGGGATGAGCACCACCCCCTAGAGTCGGACACAACTGGACAAAAATTGTCAAGGGGAACCTTTACCTTTACCTAAGTTGCTATAAGTCTGTGCTGAGCAGAAAAACAGGGAAGCTTCATTTTTCCTCATCCAGTATGGAAATGAAACTAGCAAAAAAAAAAAAAAAAAAAAAGGTCAGCGTTCAGCTCTGGTTTGATGTGTGGCCTGTCCTATTCCAGTCCACCACTTGTATGCAAGGAGGACATTAGTGGGGGGAACTGGCCATCCCTGCTAAATGGTGGCAAAGATGGATGAAGACATAAAAAGGGTGTGAGAGTTAACAGAAAAGCTCCAAAGTCAGGAATTCAAGAAAGCACAGCCTAGAGCAGATACTGTGTGCTGTATGTAGTGGCTGCTTGATTCTACACATCAAATTTCCTAAACAAAAAAAAAAGTAAATTTATATAGGAGCAGGGAAGAGCCATATATAAAGATGATGGGCATGGGATAGAGGTGTGTAATTTTGCACTGAGATCCTACAGCTCCCACTGTCACAGTATCTTTGGTCTCAAAAGGCCAGTGGTTTGACCATCTACCATCCTAGCCCAACAGTCATCATAAAAGGTTGACAGAACAACGTATTCGTGAAGGCTTTCACGGCCGGGATCTAATGGTTGTTGTGGGTTTTTCGGGCTCTTTGGCCATGTTCTGAAGGTTGTTCTTCCTAACGTTTCGCCAGTCTCTGTGGCCGGCATCTTCAGAGGACAGAAGTAGCACCCACAACAACTGTTGACAGAACAGTTTTCAGCATGTCTACTCAGAAGTAGGTCTTATTGAATTCAGTGGAATCTGGGATTCAACCCTATACTCAGCTAACACATTGGGACCTAATGTTGATTCAGTAGAAATATGCAGGATTTCACAGTTATTCACAGAGAAGTATATGTACAAAGGTAGTCAACACACCATATTTTTTTCAACTGCATCCAGCGTCAGAAATAGCTAGGATAGCCAACCAAGAGAGACAATGGGAGGTGCAGTTAAAAAGACTTCAGAGGGTCACAGTTCCTCATCCCTGGCACACTGGATTTCAGTCAGTACATTATTAAAATAATCTTGTAGAAACTTAGAATTGTCATTAGCAAGGAAGCAGAAGGAGACTGTTGCATTACTTTAAATGCAAATACTTTCAGGGTGCAGTCCCATTACCAATAAGAGCTGCAGTTAAATGAATTTAAGTGTTATTTAAATTGATTTATAAAATTGTGTTTACACAACACATGTATGAAATCAATATATTTGGTTGCAAAGCAAAAAAGAATTTCAACTAGCCAGAGGAGCTTTTTAAAATATCTCATTTTAATTCAGTTCTGTTTGGTGGCTGTGGACACTGTTGCTGATTTACTTTTTGCCTCTGGTGAATGTCAGCAGCACTGGCACCATGTTTCTTCTTCTCTTATTTTTTAAAACATCTTATGGAAATGTTTAGCAATGTATCACTTAGAGAACTGTCACCACATTTTTTTCATGTCAGATGAATCTAGCCACTGATTTATCACTGTATCATTTATTTTTAAAAACAATACAAAATAAGTCAAAAAGTTTATGAAAGCATGCTCCTGAAACAGAAAGGAAATGAGTTGATTTCACTAGTGTAGCTGCCAACATAATTTTTAATTACCAGAAATAAATTCATTTCATTTTAGTCAAAGTGAATACGGCTACTTATTTATATACCATGTGACTTGAATCCAATATAAAAATAGTTGGAACAGGAATAGATTCAAATTGCACCCTGAGTCAGTTTCATTTTACTGATCCTCTTGAAGGGTAGAAGCAACTTTCTAAGGGCCAAAAACAGATGACTTGGCAGTTCAGCACCTGGAGATGCTAATATATCGATCCCTCTAGAGATCTGGAAGCTGAGTCATGGCAACTGGACTTCTTTTTTATTAGGTTGAAACGTTTCACTACTCATCCAAGTAGCTTCTTCAGTCTGAAAAGAGTTGGTAGGAGATCTCTGATACATCCTGCACATTTGCGTCACTTCCCCCTGGTCTGAATAGACTCATTAGATGGACAATGGACTGGGGGTGAGTGAAAATTCCACCTCTGCAGTCCTTCCCCATCCATTGTCATGGGTTCTTAACAGTCGGTAACAGTGGTCTTTCCGGTGGGTGTGGTCCTGATCTTTCTGGTGATGGCTGAAAGGGCAGCATGGTAAATAGAAGACAGATTGAATCTAAGGCCTCCACCCCTTTTGAGTGAGGGATTTTCTATATGCACATGTATGACCTCCCTGACTCCTCTCTCAAACCCCCTATCTTCTCGGTCCAAAATGAGTACATCTTGGTCATCAAATGAGTGTCCTTTGTCATGAAGGAACACTCCTGATTGTGGTCCTGAATTGCCCCTCCTGTGCTGGGCCATTCCCCTGTTTAGTGGCTGTTTGGTTTCTCTAGTGTAGAGCTCCAAACATTCGTCTTTGCATTGGACCGCATATACTATATTGCTTCTGCTGTGTTTTGGTGTCCAGTCTTTTGGGTGGACGAGTTTCTCCCTTAGTGTGCTTGTAGTGCACAAGTATGTGGTGTTTACCAAAAATCCTTTTGAGCTTTTCAGACTCATTTTGGACCCAGAAGATAGGTGGTTTGAGAGAGGGGTCAGGGAGGTCATACATGTGCATATAGAAAATCCCTCACTCAACAGGGGTGGAGGCGTTAGATTCAACCTGTCTCCTATTTATCATGCTGCCCTTTTATCCATCCCCAGGAAGACCAAGACCACACCCAGCAGAAAGACCACTGTTACTGACTATTAAGGACCCATGACAATGGATGGGGAAGGATTGCAGAAGTGGGATTTTCACTTGTTCCCCATCCATTCTCCATCTAATGAGCCTATTCAGACTAGGGAGAAGTGAAACCAATGTGGAGGATATGTCAGGAGTCTCCTGCCAACACTCCTCAGGTTGATGAAGCTACAACAGTGCCTCGACTTATGACCATAATCCGTTCCAGAAGATGGACGTAACTCGAAATGGTTGTAAGTCGAAGCACCATTTCCCATAGGAATGCACTGAAATGCAATTAATCCGTTCCGGCGGAAGGAAAAAAATCACAAAAAAAGAGAGGAAAGCAATCAAGCGTGCAAGACCCATTGGAGAAGAAAGCAATCAAGCGTGCAAGACCCATTGGAAATGCACAGAAAACAAATGGAGCAGATTGGAAATACACAGAGAACAAAGGGGGCAGGTCGGAAATGCAAAGAAAATAAAAAGCAAGGGAGGCATGCAGGACCCATTGGAAATGGGGGGGGGAAACCCTCCACAAGCAACCAAACCCCCCAAGACCCATCAGAAATGGGGGAAAGGTAAACAAACACACAAACCCCCCAAGACCCATCGGAAATGGGGAAAAACACTCCAAAAAGCAACAAAACCCCTCAAGACCCATCAGAAATGGGGAAAAAAACAAAAAAAACAACCCCGCCAAGACCCATCATAGCACAGAAACATAAACTCCACCAGCTGAAAACCACACTGCAAAAACACCAAGAACAGTGTTTAAAAAGCAGAAAATAGCACCTTACCTTACCAGGCAGCCCGAAGCCTCCCTGCAAACACACACACACTCACTCACTCAAAAGCAGAAGGAGGCAGTCCCAAACCTCCTCCAACGCTCACTCTCTAACTGCTGGGGTGAAAGAACTACAAAGAAGCAGCATTGTCGCCACCTACAGTTAGAAATCTGAATTTCCTGCCTTTTCCCCCTGACTTTTTCTGTTCATAAGTGGAAGCTCCAGTTGCAAGTAGAAGCAAAATTTTGCAGCCAGAGCTGATCGTAACTCGAAATGGTCATAAGTAGGGATGTTCGTAAGTCGAGGTGCCACTGTACTTGAATGAGTAGCAAAATGTTTCAACCTAATAAAAAAGAAGTCCAGTTGCCATGACTCAACTTCCGGATAACCTCACCTGGATGACTGAGAATCTTCACAGATATCCCTCTAGAGATGTTTGTTCAAATGGCAGAAAAATCAATATGTAAACAGAGCCTGTTTTTTTCCTCTCACTGACCAATCAACAAACAAAGCAAGTTAATTTGCAACTTCCAAAGATAAAAAAAGCTGCTAAGAGGATGATCAAACACACCTTGTTGTTTAAATCATGTCTCCTTCTAGTTTTGTCTGTCTTGGCCTTCAGAAACACACTGTTGTGAAGGCTGACAAGTTACTAAATTGATTTGCACATCAGTAACTGAAAGCAGTTCTTAAAACCCAGTAGCTGTGCAGTAGTTCTGCATATTGTACAAGTCCTTATATTCTTCTTGATGATGCCTTCCCAATGTGCTGAGCTGCATTCCCATCTACCACGTTTTCTGGGAATATTATGAGTTGTAATTCAACATATCTAGAGAGCAACAGATCAGAGAAGGCTGCTTCAGGGGATATTTTCAAGATTATTTTTATAGGAACATCCACATACCAGGTCTGGATAGTTTTGATCTTCCAGATATTGTTGGTGTGAAATTACATCAGCTTTTACCAGCATAGTGCACAGCCCAACAATACCTAGAGGATCTAAAGATGCTTAACCCTTCTTTACAGGATGAACCAGCAAGAGTTGCCTAAGTATCTCATACCTTCTGAAAGAAGCATAACAATTGATACCATTTGTCTAACTGTGAGAGATGATGTATTAGAACAGAACATTGTCTATGTTTTGTTTCACCTTATTAAATTTTTATGCACCATTTATGATAGTGATTTTTTTCTGTTGTCCAAAAGAGGTACATGCATTGCACTGCCAACATATTGACTTAAATGTACCCTGCTAATACTGCTGCTCTGTTTGAGTCAACAGGTCAGTCCATAGTGGGATGCAAAGCTATCTTGATTGACGACCAGATTTTCGTGGTGGTGGCTCAACTTTTTGGTGGCTCACACATTTATAAGTATGAGGAAAGCTGGACAAAATTTGTTAAATTCCAGGATATTGAAGTTTCCCGCATTTCAAAGCCAAATGATATAGAGCTTTTTCAGATAGAAAGTGAAACATTCTTCATCATCGTGGATAGTTCAAAAGCTGGTTTGACAACAATTTATAAATGGAACAAAAAAGGATTTTACTCTTACCAGTCCCTGCATGAATGGTTCAGAGACACAGATGCTGAGTTTGTTGATATAGATGGAAAATCTCATTTGATCTTGTCAAGCCGGTCACAGATCCCCATTATCCTTCAATGGAACAAAAACTCAAGAAAGTTTCTCCCACATAGTGATATCCCCAACATGGAAGATGTGCTGGCTGTGAAAAGCTTTCGAATTCAAGATACCCTGTATATCTCACTCACAAGATACATTGGTGATTCAAGAATAATGAAATGGAATAGCAAACAGTTTGTGGAGATTCAAGCTCTCCCTTCCCGGGGAGCAATGACTCTTCAGCCCTTCTCCTTCCAGAATAAGCACTACCTAGCATTGGGAAGTGATTATACCTTCTCCCAAATATTCCAGTGGGATACTGAGAAGAAGATCTTTAAAATCTTTAAGGAGATCTACGTGCAGGCACCTCGCTCATTCACAGCTGTGTCAACAGACAGTAGAGAATTTTTCTTCGCTTCCAGTTTTAAAGGCCACACACAGATATTTGAACACAAAATTGTTGACTTGAGTTTGAGCTGAAAAGCTGAAGAAAGGAAGTGGGAGGAGAAAACACATGCATAATGACATTTTCTCAGAAAAGCAAATGAAAATGGCAGTTTTTTTTCTCACTTCTTGTCGGGAGGATGTGGCCATCCTATTAGTGAGCAGTTTTCTGAACTTTTAAAAAGTTTGCATATTTAATCAGGGATTGCATTAACTTGGTTAATTGCATGTCATGCTCATGTTACCACTGGTAATCCTACTATTATTCAGAAAAGTGTGCAATGCATCAAAATTAATCCTAACTCACTTATAACAACACTTAAAATTTGTAGCTGGAAGTGGAAAATGAGAAAAGTCTGGAAAGTCACTATGCAGAAACTTAAGAAGACAAAAACTTCAATATGGGGAGCAACCCAACATTGAGCTGGGTTGACCTTTTCAGAACTGGTGTTTAACAAGCAACACCACATGCTTATTTGCCAATTGTAAATTATCACCAAGATGAAAAAGCCCATCTTGTCATCTTTGCTTCAATGAAAGTCGAGATCATATGCCCTGGCGTCCTTCTTGGCCCTTGAAAGCAGCTATTTCAAGAGAAGCCTCTAGAGGCCATTGATGAATTTTGATGTACTGAAAGGTGGTCCCATTTCTTAACATTTGAATGCCTGGTCAGCTTTTGGGAAGACGGACATGGTGCATATGTAATCCACTCCTAAAGGTGTCTCCCCAAAGTTGCTAGGTAGGTCACAGACGTACATTCAGCAGCCCAGCAGGCTCTGAATCAATTCAGTTAATAGCCACCCTTTTTGTTGTTGTTGTTTAGTCATTTAATTGTTTCCGACTCTTTGTGACCCCATGGACCAGAGCCCACCAGGCCCTCCTGTCTTCTGCTGCCTCCCAGAGTTTGATCAAATTCATGCTGGTAGCTTCGATGACACTGTCCATCTATCTCATCCTCTATCATTCCCTTCTCCTCTTGCCTTCACACTTTCCCAACATCAGGGTCTTTTCCCAACCTGTGCTTAATACTATGATTTTTATGATCTAGCCAGTTGTAATGAGAGTCATATATCTCTTGTCAGCCCATTTCTGTGACAGTGTCTACTAAAAGATGCATGGGAGGGATGCCATCACATATAGCTTTTTCTCATTCATTTTACTGTCTTTTCCCATGGCTGGATCTGCATCCAGGCAAAGTTAAACTCTTCAAAGTTCCATTGATTTCAGTGGGAAAGTATTAAACACATGCTTAACTCTGCCAGGATGTGGGAATTCATCGTCTGTTTGCTTGGGTGGATCATCCCTTTTAACTGATTCCCGATTAGTTTTTAACTAACCACTAGAACCTGTGTTTTTGGTACCTTTTGTGTGCTAGTAATCAATTTGTGTCTTCTTTGCTTTATGTACTTTATTCACTGCATGCTTTAAAGAATCTTCTTTCTAAATCTTACAAAATCTGAAGAGCCTTGTCTTAAAGGATGATTAGGCAATTTGGTCAGGCAACTGTGCAGATCGGAAGGCTGTGTGCAATGCAACAATCAGTTCAGCTTCCAGTTATCAGATCCTTCTCTACATATTGAGAAAAAAAAGCTTTGTTTGTATCTAATTCCCCACATCAAAATAATAAAATAAAAAGCTGTATTGACATTTGGTGCTTTCAGGATGGACAGGGTGGGGTGTCAAAAATTATTTTTTCTTTTTTCCACCTAGTATCAATTCTTTCCCGGAGGGAACAAATATTTACAAACAGAAAAGAAAACTGTGATAACAGTAAGGACAATCATTTATCCCCTTTAATCCCTTCCTTTAAAGGCTTATATATATAAGATTATTCAATATATCATCCACAGTGCATTATCAGAATAAATATCATCACTTTATTACATATTATATAATATATATAAAGTGATAATTTGTACTTTCCAGGTTATAGTACAGTAATTGATATTTCCCGGCTTAGTGTAATTCTCCCTTATCCACACCTACACAAATCACAAAGGGGACCTAATTTTCAAGGAAACTACTTTTGTTTTAAAGAGAGCGTGTGATACATATTTGTGTAGAAGGCAACGCTGGATGTACATCTGTCTGTGTAGAGTTCAGTATAACTGAATTTGCACCACCACCTTCCCTGTTTTGTGCAAACTGTAAAGCAGTAATAAGGTAACTTGGGCTGGCAGCAGCTTAGTGATCATACCTTTTTATGTACAAATGGGACAGGTGACCACTGCATGTTCTCTGGTTCTGTACTTCAGCTTCCTCTCTCTTTCTCTCCCCTGTGCTAATGCAAACGAATCTTCAATTTTGCCCCACAACATGAACTTTCTTGGCTAAAGACAACCTGAAATCCCTGATTTGAAGCATGGCAATCCTAATAAACCATAGTGCTGACAGCACTAACCAAATGTCAGAGAACAGTATTTATGACAAAATCTCTCCTTAACATGGACTCCTTCTGTAGTTGGACTGGAAAGGTCTGGAGATGCTTTGTTTGCAAACACGCTGAACCCTGGGGTCAAGGCAGCCAAGCTGGCTCCAGACTCTTGCTTCCAGCGCTATATTTTACATAACTTGTCTCCACTGTATGAGCCAAAGTCTTTTTTTATCCCCACCCATTTGAGATAAGCCAGTAAAGTGGTAGCTGTTCCCATTGGAGTTAAATGAAGCACTGAAAATGTTAGTGGTAAGTCTCTCTGGGCAATCTAGCTGTTAAAAAGCTGTTGATGCTAAAATGATGCAACTCCAGTACATCATTCAAGGATGAAACATTGTACAAAAGGCTTTCAAAAGAAGTGCTACAGGTTACAGAATTCAGGTTGTGCCCTTCATTCCTCCTAGATAGAGTGGCCCTGCAGGGTGTGGAGACTTGGTCATGGCTGGCAAACAAAAGGCTGCATCTTTACACAAACAAGCAGAGTTTTCCCCTTTGGATTCCAGAGGAAAGCTATCTTATATATCAGTGCCAGTTATCTTTTGTCAACAGAGGGAAAAACATGAGCAAAAATAGACTTTGTCCAGTTCTCCCTTTTCCCATTGCAGAAATCTATGGATCAGAGACCACTCTCAGGGTTGGATATAGCAATATCTGGCATGTTAGAGCAATACATGCAGTGGCCCAAATCCAAAGAAAAATTAAACATCTTGTGATGCCTTAAAGTCTAACAGATTTATTGTGCCATGAGCTTGTGGCAGATGCAGCCATGGAAGCTTATCCCTGAAATAAACCTAGTAGCCTTTAAGGTGGTATAAAGCTCAATCTTCTTTTTGCTGCAATACACTGTTTCTGTAATCCAGCAAATATAAATGCTCCCACTGGGATCAGGAAGAACTAACTGCTTTATTGTTTGGCTCTGTTCATTTCAGTAGATTGTAAGTGCATGTAAAGATCGCTGGATGTCTTTCTCCAGTGTGCCCTCTGTAATATCATTCTGCTATAAAATTAAAAAGGCATGTCTGTTACACCCAAGAAATCATACAAGAATCCCACTATAAGCATGGTCCTTTTACTGCAACATTAGTTGGCCTCAGTTATCCTGCTCACAGGTGGGATCAGCATGCCCGACAATAAGCCTGACTGTTGACTTCTATATTACAACATGTGCTTCACAAAGAACACAGATAATGATAGGTTAATATGTTATCAGGTAATAATGTGGAAACTGAATCTTTTGCAATAATGAAAATGGAGTCTGACTTGGTGTGGTTTCTAATCTATGGTATAAGAAAACCCATCTGGTTTTTCATAACAGGTGGGTAATGAAAAGACACAATCCAGCCAATGTTAGAATCTATTTCTTTTATTATAAATTATTTTACTATATATTAAAATAATTCATTTCATCTATTTCCTGTCTTACTTCAAAAATATTTAAAAGAGCATACATATTTCCCCCACTCCAGATTTTTATGCTCATGACAACTGGTTATTTGGGTGAAACACAGTGACCAACCAAAGGTTGACCACTGGGCTTCATGGCTCACTGGGAGTTTGACCCTGAGTCTCACTGACCTGCTCCAACACTCTATTTAAGTCTCCACTGAAATCAATAGGGCTGCATCATGCCTAAGTTTCATCTGAGAAAGATTTCCAACAACATTTTAAGTGCCCTAGTTGCCCACTCCTGCAATCAAATGTACTGCCACCACTGTATTTCATTTGGACCTTCTCTGTTTTTTAATCTCTCTCTCCCTCTCTCTCAGATTCCCTGAGATACACGAATGTTTTCAATGCAGCAAGATACATAAAGCAACATGGTTGACAGCCAGCTGCATCTTTTCTATGAATGCACCTCCCTTAGAAAGCTATTGAAAATGTATTTCTATAAATACATAAACAGGTACATATTAAAATCAGGGATTCTCAATAAAAATGTTCACAAAATTATTTCACACTACAGTCCAAAACATGCTTATTTCAGGCTCCATGGATTTCAGTCAAATTTGCTTCTGCGTGCAGCCTAGGGAAACATCTAAAATGTTAAACTGGTTCTGATCCAGTTCTAGCTATGGGAAACGTATTGTACATGTCAATGAATATGCACATAAAGCCATCTCAATAGGAGGAAGACAATCAATAGTATCTACATAGCACTTTTAAATGTTCATAGTGTACACTTGTATCAGACACAGTCCAACAAAAATTAGTTGCCAAATTAAATACACTAGAATGGGACTTATCTGAAACCAATGTGGTCCCTTGATGTGAACAGATTTGATTCCAACTAAGTTTGTCACTGGTCATATGGATTACCTATGTCATGTCAAGGCTAGGGTAAGCACTACTAGAACATAACACTGATATTGTCACTGGGAAAAGCAAAAAACTAACTGGACACAATATTCACCTGGAGTATTGTGTCCAGTTCTGGGCACCTCAATTCAAGAAGGATGTTGACAACCTGGAACGTGTCCAGAGAAGGGCGACCAAAATAGTCAGAGGTCTAGAAGCCATGTCCTATGAGGAGCAGCTTAGGGAGCTGGGAATGTTTAGCCTTACAAAAAGAAGGTTAAGAGGGGCCATGATAGCCTTGTTTAAATATTTGAAGGGATGTTGTGTTGAGGAAGGGACAGATTTGTTTTCCACAGCTCCAGACACTAGGACAAAGAGCAATGGTTTCAAACTACAGGAAAAGAGATTCCCCCTGAATCTCATGAACAACTTCCTGACAGTCAGAACTGATTGGCAGTGGAATATGCTGCCTTGGAGTGTGGTGGAGTCTCCTTCTTTGGAGGTTTTAAGCAGAGGCTGGATGGCCATCTGTCGGGAGTGCTTTGATGGAGTTCCTGCATGGCAGGGGGTTGGACTCGATGGGCCCTGTGGTCTCTTCCAACTCTGTGATTCTATGATTCTATGATAACATTGAAATGCACTTAAAATATGTTCATACAGCAAGTAAGATAAAGCAGCAAAAAAGTCTCTCTTAAACACACAGCAAAAACTGAGGGGGGAAAACCCCAAATCCACCCAGTTTCAATAACAAAGGATTATGGATAAATTTACTGAATGAACACAAAAAGTGCAATGAATTATTCATGGAAACACCACCAATTTCAGTAGCTTTATTTCATCTTGCACCCATATAATGTAAATGGAATACCACTTTTCAAACAGTAGCTTTATCACTGTGGCTCATTTGGAGATAAGGTGGTCACCCTGGGGTGTTAACAGGCTGATTCTGTGTAATGATAGGCATTCTTATCTCTAAACATGATGGTGTTATAAGCCACACTTGGAAAACTTTTTTGTGGCTTAATACAGTTCTTAAAAATCTCCCAAGCCTGCATGGCTACTTCCCATGTGGGAGTTCTAATTCCAAAAAATAGCTACTCCCAACTCTGCCTGGAAGACTTCAGCCATAACTAAGCATACA